ACACATGTTGTGACTGACTTGACTCCACGTTTGACTCCCAGTCTGGCTAGTCTGAGTGGACAGAGAAAGTGAAAGGAGAACAGGAATCAAGGAATTTATTATGTGGGTTAACAACCCCAGATGAAAGCCTGAGTACAATTGTAAAACAGATGTAATGCCCTTACAGCTGCTCCATTGGTCAGCTAATCCTTTTGACTAATGCACCCCCCCAAACTCCCCCACCCTCACAGGCACACACTTTCATCAAGCCCTACACCTTTACTGCTTACTCCTCCGCCCCCTCCCCTCCTCTACCTCTGTGACCCCTGCTCATGTTACCGGCTCACCTCCCCCATCAGAGACCCCCTTTGTTCCACAACCAATCCATCTCCCCCAAAATGCTAATGACATGTTGTCACCCTGCATACAAACAAAATGACATGACATATTGCAATTACGGGTCTGACCAGGTCATGGAGGAAAAGAGGGAGTTGTGGGGGAGGAGAAGTGAAGTAGGTGAAGGTACAGACAAAGAAACGACTGAACTACAGATACAGATGGAGGCTCAGGGAGATCACAGAAGTAGCTAAAGCATCAAACTTTAACACACACTTTTATTCCCACCAGTTTAAAGCAGTTTCAATGTTTTTTGACTGTTTTTTTTTCATTTTCATTTTGTGAATATATTTTAGTGTTGTCCCTGTTGCTGTAGCTGTATTTCCTCCTGCTACAGCTGTAATGTTTTTTTCTAATGGAGTTCATCCAGGTCAAAAAACCCTGGATACATTTAATTCAATTAGTGAATGTATGGATTGTATTAATTGCTTTATTTTTTTCTACTGATCCAAAACTAAAGTTTGGCCTCTGCTTTTAACCTATCCATGAAGCTGGTTAAATGGACTAGTTTTATTGGGGTACACGGATACTGTTTCTTGTTGTATTTACACACTGCATTCCTACATTGTTACATGTTACCTTAATAAAGTTGACATGTCAACTAAAAACAGCCATGTAAAAGGCTGAACAATGAAGAATGAAGAAGAAGGCACAGTATTCAATGTAAAACATCCCCAGACCTGGCTGTAAACACAGCTCTAACATACTGCCGTGATTTAATGTGAATTTCTTTTCCCGTTTGTTTTCATTGTTCTCATCATACTTAAGACTTGTTCACCGAAACAAGCTGCCGACTGCTCCTACAATCTTCCTCCCTCCTCTTCTTCCTGCTCCACGCTGTGAGCATGTGTTTGTTTTACTTGGCCACTGACTCCATGTAAGCCATGCACAGTTTACCTCCCATCTACCCTGAGGCAGACATGACCTTCTGTTTTTTAGAAGCCCAGTGCCGGACTTTATTGTGGGAAGGGGTC